TATATCAGACAATATTCATATACATCTTACCTATCGCTAACCACGTTCGAAGCAAAGTATTATCAAGTACTAAGTATGTGAAATTACGATAGAAATCATTCCATATCGCAGTCATAGTTTTTAAGTGATAATCCATTGGAATCTATCAATCATCACATAGAATGAATAAATCTCCTGACATTGCTATGTTATAAGATGAATCCAATAAACGGTTCATGTCGATTTGTTTCAGTGCAGCAACAATCGATTTTACTCCCGTTCTGTACACTCAAAAATAATACAAAACGAATATAGATTAAAATTTATGCATTTTCTGGTTTTTCAAAATTTGGTACATTGGTTCGATTAAAATTTTCGTCAAAATTATACTAAGTCCGAATAACGGAGTGGAATTCGATCAGTGTTTACTAAAATGACAAGAAAAAGAACACCTGGATTTCCTTCGGAGCTTCGTGCTGGTGAAGAGCTTCGTCCCGGCGGATTTCTTCTGCGCCTGTGATCTGCTGGGCAGCTAGACTGCGTGAGCATGAGTTCATCCTAATGAACATCGAGATTGTAAGTATTTTTTGAATAATATTCATAAAAAATAAACTAATTTAAAAAGCTTCACAATTTTAATTTATATATGAAAACAATAATATTTACCATAAATAAATTAAGAAGCGAAAAATACATTCTCTCGAATAAACCGTATCTATGCATTGTAGGTATATTTCAATTTTATACTATGGGACGCATAAACCTACTACTAAGTTTGCATTCTCTCCCTTTATACCGACCTTTGCGTCGGTACGGAGAGTTGCGATTTAGCGTAACTTTTATACTATTTAGATTTCAATATTTTTGGAGTGTATGTTAAACATACTGTCGGAAGTAGTGCTAGTCCGCTGTATAGCGCATTATTGTTCGATTACAACACACTAGGCTTCCGACACTATGTTTAACGGGTTTAACGTACAGCACGAGTAAAATCGATTATTGCTAATTAAGGCCCAAGTGCAATGACAGCGGAAGCGGAACGGCAGCGGAAAAGCCCGATCTGAGTAAGCCTACTTGTCGGATTGAAAACTAGTTAGAACCAAATCGACTTCGGTTAGGCATCTTGTTGTCATCTGTGACAACTGTCAAACTTTCCGTTCCGCTTGCGCCCACATTGCGTTTAGGCCTTTAGTGGTTTATTTCGGTTTTCAACTGTACCGATAATAATAAAACCAAAAAAGTAGAAGGGTCTGTTCCTAGGGACACGAACGGAAGGTTGACGTAGGACCGCTAGTGGACGGAACAAATATGTTGATCATTTAATTCTTAACTCTTTCCGTTTTTGAATTGGTGGTCCTGAAAAGGGCCGGTTGTTTTGCAAATTTTCATTATGTCGCAAGTAACATTCGCACCAATCCGAGTAAAATAAGGTTTTGTTTTGATGACCGAAAAGTTATTCCTATTTCCAAGTAAACACATATAATCTCATAGTGATAGCAATGTTTAACATATTTAGCAGGGTTTTAATCATACAAATGCAAATCGCTAGCTTTCATGCTAAAAAATAATGGTTTTTGAGTCAAAAGTTATTATACGTCGTTTGGTGGCCCCTATTGTTACTTAAGTCAAAGTGTATTTACCAGGATATTCGGGAGAATTATCAATTACGTCTCCTTACGTGCAGCCTATTCATCATTTTAGGACCACCGAAATCATCTTTTTTTTATCTAGTTCGTTTATTTGGAAGGCTCAATCGCGTTAGCTTTACGGAGCCGATAATTCATTGTTCACTGTGGGTAACAAAATTCACTTAATTCTATGTCTAGTAGGAGTTGGGCCGATTACTCGCGGCTTACTCGAGGTTAGAAGGGTACATTTTCGAAGGATAGGATCAGGGGAGGAGCTTGGGGTAGGGTTTCGTTGTATCATCAGAGCGTTGTCGCCAGTATGAACGGTAGTGCTGTTCTAGCTTCGTCCGGAGTTCGACCGGCTATGGTGGGTGACCAGTGGGCGACGATGAGACTCATCGAGACGGGGGACAAGACAAACAAAAACTAAGCAGAGATCACGGGTTGCCAACACGTCTCTGATAGGAACATAGGGTTGTCTTCCTTGGGCCTCGAGGGTATTCAAAAGTCACTCTCTGGCGGCGTCATTATCCGTACATTGCCAAACTGCGTGTTCGATGTCATCGTAACCGTTTCCACACCGACAGATGTTGCTGTCCACGAGGTTTATTCTATTGAGATGAGCATCTAGCGAATGAAGTCACGACTTAAGCCCAAGCCTTTAAACCACGCTCTCGAAGAAACATTAGGAATAATTGAATGTAACCACCGTCCAAGATTTCCAGTGTCCCAATCGGTTTGTCAACTCGAAAAGGTACTCTGACGCACTAAATGGTAAAATTCATCGTGTGAAATTTGCCTGTCATACAATTCGCCTTCCTGCGCGCCCACCTTTGCGAGAGAGTCCGCCTTCTCATTGCCTGGGATTGAGCAATGTGAGGGGACCCATACAAAGGTAATCATATATGATCTTTCGACCAGCACACACATCTGCTCCCTTACCTTTGAAAGGAAATAAGATGAGTGCCTACCTTCTTTCATCGACCGAATAGCCTCAATCGAACTGAGACTATCCGTGAAGATGAAGTAATGGTCTGCGGGCATGTTGGAAATCATCCCCAATGCGAAGTTGATTGCTGCCAGCTCAGCAACAAAAACAGAACAAGGTTCCTGAAGTTTGCGGAAGGCGCTAGAGTTTTCATTGAAGACACCGAAGCCAGTGGATCCATTGAGACGGGACCCGTCTGTAAAATATCTTTTCATGCAATTGACTTGTTGGTACTTTTCAGTAAAAATACGTGGGATAATAATAGGTCGAAGTTGATCGGGAATCCCATGAGTTGCAAAAATGTGGAACGCTTCACGATTTTGCGTGTCATCCTTGCGCAGGGGCCATGCTACTCTTCTCTGTATCGTTCCAATTTTAGTATAAGTCCAGCCGAAGCTAGGACGACCGAAATCATCTTAGCAACAAACAGTTCGATTTATTCACTTTAATAATGAGAAAGCGAAACGACGAACGTACACTTTTTACGGGTTTCTCAGCGCTGTTACTTTAGTCAAACGGCATCTCCATAGAAATTGGGTGAAGTAACATCGAAAACTATTGTGATCGGAAGGTGATTACGTCAAAAAGCAATTTGACTGGCAAATAAATTTAAAAATTGGATTTGATCCTATATTCGGACAGCATATAGTGTAATATCAGGAGAATCGATTGACACTGATAGCTCGACTTTGTTTACCTTTGTTACATTCGACGTAATGAAAATTTGCTCTTGATTGGATGACATAGACTTCTTGCCGCGAGATCTCACTAACACAATTGTGCTAGTCTAACAGAGTAAAAACGATTTGGTTTATTTTTTTTAACCACAAAGTCAACTGTCAAAGTGTCTCACCCGACAGCGGGTTTTTTTTACTCACTAATACCAACGGTGTCAGAGAAGTCTATGAAGAGTGAAGTTGCAGTAACGGTATGCCAATTTAAAAAGTTAGTTACTGCATCAAGCGTCATCAAGGCATAATGTTTCTACACTAAAGGGAATCAATAAATAAAAGATGAGAACCAATTATCAACCATGAATATGCAATATATTAAGCAATTTAAAATCACAGCAAAATTTATTCTGAATAATCTGGAAAATAAATTGCTACGGTATTTATTTCTGCAATTTTCTGGGGGGGGGGGGCAACCCAAAGCCTGGGAAGGGTCAGCCCCCCCCCCCTCTATTTACGCCAATGGTGGGCACACATAAAACAAATTTACTCCCGACTATACAGGGGAATTTCAAAATGGAGACGGAAAACCAGTATGTAAACATTGTGGAAACCCCAATCAATATCATAATGATATTGAACCTACTACCAGTTGATTTGTTTCATGCAGCTGGAGATCCAGAGCCAAACTGCGGGATGCTCACTATGCCCCACCTGTTCAGTATTCCCCTCCTCCTCCTACGTACAGGAAGGCACCAGGCATGGAAAATCATTTACATTCATTTTGTGCATTCATTTGCCTCTAACTTTTTTCATTAACAGAATTCAGTAAAGTAATGTATGAAGCTTTTGTAGGTTTTATAATTACCTACAACTTTTGTCAATGAGATCTCGACTATTGCAATTTAATATATGTGTTTTTAAAACGGATAGATCTGAGGATTTAGTAGTTAGTGTCATCTTGTGTTCCCCCAAGTTGTTAGCTGCCCATCGGTGTACCCCCATGTTTGTCTTTTTCATCAGTTGGTCGCTTAGTTCGAGATCAAGAGCACATTGCTCTCCAAACCTTGTGTTCTCAATCCCTACCCTGCCATCCATTTGTTACAATTTGTTACCCTTAACCTCGAGATAGCCGCGAGTAATCGGCCCCCGCTTTACTAACGTTAGTCTTAAGAAATTTTGTAACCTAAACAATGAATATCGGCTCCGCAAAGCTACGGCAAATGAGCCTGGAAAAATAAACACATTAAAAAAAAAAAAAAACTTTTGTCAACGATTCAAATCTGTATCTCTTATGTATGATGAACCAGAGCAAACTGAACCCTCCATTGTTTTTGAGTGAATGTAAATTACATTCACCGAAAAACAATAACATGATCTGCCCGCTCTAGTTCATCATGCATAAGAGATACAGATTTGAGTTATTCACAAAAGTTGTAGTTCATTATACAACCTACAAAAGCTTAATACATAGTTTTACGGAATTCTGTCGATGAAAAAAGTTAGAGGCAAATGAATGCAAATGAATGTACGAAATGAATGCAAATGATTTTCCATGCCTGAAGGCACTGTATATAATTACGTTGAAAATTAGATTTGATTCCAATTAATAATTTCGTAGTCCTATGTAAAAAAGGCGGTTGTGTATCAAACATAACCACTGACTTTTAAATAAGTATGCATATTTAATTTAAAAATAACAGCCACCATCATTATTTTTTTCCGTTTCATTAGAAATGCCCGTACCGGCAATCTTCCGGAAACCGCTACCCCTCGAACGCATCGCCCAGCAGTACTGGGATTTGACGGCCATACCACGTGCGCGTGCCTTTGCTGTGCTGGCACGAACATGCCCCAACGAATTGGAGTGCGAAAAACTTCAGGAATTCTCCAGCTACGAGGGACAGGAGGAACTTTTCTCCTATGCCAACCGACCGAGACGCACAATTCTGGAGGTGCTACAAGATTTCCCCCATGCCTTTGGGGCTCTTACCTTAGCGGCACTGTTCGAACTGTTTCAACCGATCAAGCCGAGGGCTTTCTCCATCGCTTCCTCGGCCGCCAGTGGGAAGCTGCAGATTCTGGTGGCCGTTATCGAGTATCGGACGAAGCTCGTGGTGCCCAGAAGAGGCTTGTGCTCCACTTGGTTGAAACGATTGCAGCCGGGTGATACGCTGAGGGTTTGGACTAGGAAGGGAACTTTCCAACTACCTGGTGATACCGTGAGTAGATGAACACTTGCCGATGTCTGGATTTTAATTTGATCCCTCATTACAGACAACTCCCATAGTGATGGTCGGTCCCGGGACCGGTTTAGCGCCATTCCGGTCGATTCTTCAGGAAAGGGAAATGCTTGCCGATCCGCGACGCAGTGGTCCTCTGGTTCTGTTCTTCGGCTGTCGCAAATCTACTGCAGACTTCCACTGCGAATATGACCTGCGGCGGATGGAAAACTCAGGCCTTTTAACGTTATTCTGTGCATTTTCCCGCGATCAGGAGGATAAGGTGTACGTGCAACATCTGATAAGAAAGCAAGGTGATTTATTGAAAAAGCTCCTGATGGAACAAAATGGATTCTTCTTGCTCTCGGGAAGTTCAAAGAACATGCCCGACGCCGTTCGAGATGCACTGGGTGAAGCTATTGGGAATTCTCTATATGTAGACGAAATGGTGCAAAGCGAACGTTACCAGGAGGAGACCTGGGCTTAGCTCAAGTCCTGTTTATATTACCGGCTAGTTCCTTATACTAGAATACAAATACATCTGTTACTCTGTAAAACCCCAAACTTTTAGACTTCCGGCGTCCCTTCGTCGGTCGTTGGTATCCTTATCGTCGCAAGCATATGCCAACATGTACTGCTTCGGATGCCATGCGACCGTGAATGTGGCCGCATCAACCGAAATGTCCGCAACCTTTTCCCCCGTCTCGGTGTCTCCAATGTCGATGATGAGATCTTCACTCGCAGAGGCCAGCAATCGGCCGTCGTGACTGAAAGAAATCGTTCTCACAGGCCAATCCAAACGCGAGAACACCCTCAAGCAGGCAAGTTCTTCAGCATCCCATAAAGATACCAACGCGTCAGCCGAACCAGTAGCAAAATACTTCCCCGTGGGATCAAACTCGATGCAAATACAAGTACTTGGGTGCGCCTTAAGCACCTGTTGCAGATTGAGATCCGGGTAATTCAGAATATGAACACATCCCTGTCCATTCGTCAGGAAGAATAAATCACTGCCATTGCTCCAGGCAATTTCGTTCACCTCGAACGAAAATTGTTCCTCCGCCAAAATCTTGTACATCCTTGCATCGATGAACGTCACCAAGTCTTCCTTGTTTCCAACGGCAATCGTGTTGCCATCCGGGGACCATGTAATATTGATATTCTCACCTTTTGTGTTGATGATAGTGGCACACTTCCCGATCCGAGCATCCCAGATTCGCACCGTTTTATCACCGCTGGCCGTACTAAGCAGATCCGGAAGCGAAGCGTGCCAACAAAGCTGGTCCACTGATCCGGTGTGTCCGCGGTAAGTGCTTTCTTTGTTCTGCAATGAGTTTCAAAAATGTAAATTCCGAGGAATTAATAAAACCAAGCTCCTACCAATCGTTCGCGGTCGAGAGTGAATATGACCACCGATTTATCGAACGAGCCAGACGCCAGCCGGCGTCCGTCGCAGTTCCAACCAACCGAATGTACTTTGGCGGTATGGGCTTTCGTAGCTTCGCGAGTTTTGTTATGCGTTTTAAAGTACTCCTGCAGTTCTTCGACGTTAGATTTCGTCGAAACCATTTTGCTGGTTTTTTGTATTTTATACACACGAACCCGACCTACCTATTTGATTGAAATGAATTATAATATTATTGGATTTGGTTTAGATTCTCACGAAACACAGTCGGAGCGAGCGCGTTGTTTTGTTTCTAATAATAATCGAGGGGTCTGTCAGTCGTACTTCATCAAGCACAGAATGTATTTTGCGGATAATGCGCTACTTTTCATCAGGGCTGTCCATTTATACAAACTACACGGTCGATTGAAGCAACTCAATTTGAGTTTCATTCACTCAATTTCGCATAAACTTAGGTTGTGTTCCATTTGGTGAATTTTCACTTAAATTTGGAATATCATCAAATAAAACTGATTTTGTACCAGCCTTATTTCTGACATACCAGGAATCAAATTTGACAATTTGTTTCAAAAGAAAAAAAATCAGATCGAAAAAATTCAAATCATTTGATTCATAAAAGTGACATGTGTAAATAGAGTTTACACTATTTTTTCCCTTGATTTCTCGCGTCACTTTTCAAATAGACCAATGTAACAAATGTAAACAAATCGAGTTAAGCGATACAAGCTATTGCTCTTCTATAATTGTATGTGATACAAAAACACCCATCCAAATTTACTTTCATTTATTTAAGATAATCATTGATCAAAAATTGTCCAATGTACAGATTGTTGATGATGGTTACTTGATTGTTACTTCAGTCATTCGGACTGCCTAACATGATTGGTGCTCATTTTCCAAAGGCGGGGCCAATCTAAAGTTAGGTACTATACTCTGAAATCTGTGAAAGGGAATCTAGTATCATGTAGACAAAACGTCCAATGTAACACTCATTGATTATGTCATTGAGAAAAATCGTCCAATGTAACATGTCCGATGTACAACTCGACTTGTCAAAACGTCCTATGTGGTTTTTTCTATGTTGTAGCATGAAATTCAAAGTTAAATTGTGATTTTACCGTTTCTTCTGAATTTTCAAAGTTATTATACACTGACTACATTAAAAATAGTATTGCAAAATGTATTGTTTTTAAACAGTTAAAATAATAATCTGTCGAACTTCAACTTCGATTTTCTCAAAATGGTGGATATGTTACATTGGTCTATTTGAAAAGTGACGCGAGAACTCATGAACCTCCCAACCAACATTTTCAGCTTTGTTTCGGATCTCAAACTATTTTTTTTTTTTGAAGCAGCTTTTTGTTGTTGCAGCTCAAAACTGAAATATAATGTTTATTTAAATTTCATCGTTACCTTTTGTTTCACATTACATACATGAATAGTTTTCACTCCTAGCTATCGTCATTCAAGCTCTTTCTTTCCCTCAACTATCTGCAAACTAAATGCAATTTATGTTAATATTCTTTCTATTGGATATTCAATTTATATTTCACCTTCACTATTTTATTCGACCCGACTGTTGATCACTTATTCTAATTCTATTTTCAGATTCACCAAGAGCAATTATTCACCGCGTAACCACTATTTTTCGAAGCAATGGCCGTAATAAAGTCTTTCTCACACTAAGGCCGTTCGCAATGCAGTGTTTTTTTTATGGGCTGTGTTTTTTAAAAACAAAAACAAAAACGCACCCTTCTCAATGCCGAGTTGTAGTTTCATTTTTCGAGCACTTTTTTGCATCAGATTTGCAACTGCTCGACAACTCTGTTTTATTTCTGTGCGGGTTTGAACCACGAAACGAGCTGTGTTTCAAATTTCTGTGGTTGTATATGTGTGCGCTTCTTACTGTTGACAGATGGTAGGTCAATGCCATGGAGAACAGGTTCTGCAATGTGAATTTGTCACCTCTTTCTTTCTCCCGCTACTCTCATGTAACGTACAGTTTGACGCAAACTCATCGTTGCAAAAGAACGGCGAAAAAATGAAAGAGACAACAGATTTTTATCGCCGGACCTGTTATCCATGATATTGATGGTAGGCGAACAGCCGAAAACGTTTTCATTTCTTTTCAGGCGTCAAAAAGAACGGTTAGGTTCCGCGAAATTTTAATTAATTTGGTGTTTTTAGTAAAGTGAATTGGTCTTAAAGGTTTGTCGGTAAGTAGCATTTTATTTATTGCTGTAACAAACATCGCTTGTTATTCTAATTGTAGATTATTTGATCGACAACTCTACCCCCTAATCCTCGATTCCTGGAAACCGCTCTGGTTCACGATCCCAGCTTTAGTTAATTAGAGGCTTGGAAAATCCATCGGCAACTGGATTTTTGGAGTTAATATACTTTCCATCACCGTCCCATTGTCGATTGCTTCATGGACAATGCACAAAATGGTATTGTATGCCCAAGTGCTTGGTCCTCGGGTGGTATAAGAACAATTCTTGGCAATGCAAATAGTAGTTGGATTGTCACACAAGATCTGGATAAAATTCTCACCGAATATTTACTTCAACTAATTCCTCCACCATAGTGCCTACTGGATCGTCCTGGACAGCGCCATGTACTCCGCCTCGCATGATGATATTGCCTGTGCAATGTACTGCATACATTCGACAGCTAAGCAAGGGAACATTGTTCATCTGCTCTGCTTCTTCCACATTTTGTGATGACATCGATTTGTCCAACCGCTCACTAGTTTCAAATGGAGTAACCGCCTCGAGATCAAATTTCGTTGCCATCGCCATCATCGGTTGAGTACCGGATCACCAGTGAATAAACCTCATCGTAGTATGCCGAGTATGCCCAGCCACTGCGAACATCCCTTGACAACTAAGCGGGCCTTGTACCGCCCAATCATGCCATCAGGTCCACGTTTCCAATGTTTTCGTCTATTATTTTTCTCCATCCTTCTTTTGACGTTTGCGCGATCAAAGTCATCCACACAAGGTGACCGTACAAGGTGATCCGCACAAGGTGGGTGGATCTTACGCACGCTAAATTAACATTACACTGAAACAAAGACCATAGTTAGAAATACTATTTTGCAGAAAACACTTATTTTCAGCATAACTACGCTTAATGCCGTTAAATCTACCATGATTTCAGTATAGTTGACTATAAATATAAACAAAGTTAATACCATTCTGTCAAAACTACTATGCTTACTCAAACGGCATAGAAGTTTTGATAGAAAAAAATAGTAAAATTAAATTAATTTCGTTTCTGCACAAATCTATTGGTGGGAGTATTTAATTTAAACCATCAATATAGTAATTTTGCCGATAGATTTTGTTTCTGTGTACCCTGTTTCATTCACGTAGTGTTGCCAAGTGCCGCAACAAGCTTTATAAGCCAACTTTTCTAGCATTGTGTTGTAAAGTAGCTGCAAAAAGCTGCAGATACAGCTACAATCAGGAGCTAGCAAAATAATTTTGGAGAGCGTTTACGCAACTATTTTACACCCATTATTCAATTTGTCAGTCGCACTGAAAAACAGCAGCCAATAAACGCTAATACCAACAATCAATACGAAACTAACGATTTTAAATTGGCTCACCACTTTAGTAGCCTATTGGTCCCAAGCAAACGATTAACGTACCCTATTCTAGTTGAAATTCTATTACTACACTATGTTTGTTTTGATTAGCTATGAAAGTTTGACAGATAACATCAGGGGTGTGTGGATTCATGCAGAACATGCAGGGGTGAGTGAAATAGCTTGGGACTGCTTGGGACCGTTGTTCTGGTACTGAGTGAGCCAGAAATAATAATGATTTTCTTCGGGACCCAGTGGTCTTAGAGTTACCTCTATGCTAATACCACTTCTATGCAAATATTAATCAACTTTCAACTTGTAGCTGCAAAACAAAACTAATAAAGAGAATATTTTTTTTTTTTTTTTTTATATATATTTATAAAATTGAGAATATATTCCTCATTAAATGGTTGCTACACAACCAACCACTCTTGCTGAATAACATAAACATCAAAAGTGCTTTTTCAACAACTACACAACCTGTACTCAGCTAATCGAGCAGCTAATAAACTGTGTTCGTGCTACTTTGGAAGCATTTGTAAAGTCACTTAGGTTTATTTTTAGACCTGTGCAGTTTTACAGCTTTTACTCCGCTCCTTTACGAATCTGAAGTGACTAGTTGAAAAAAGTGATGTGCACTATTATAAATCCTCTACTCAGCGATATTGCTGTAGAAAGTCATGTAGATTATTTTACGTCAGTTCAAAGTGTTGGTGTTGCGGAGAAAGTAGTAATAAGCAATACCGTCCTTCAGTTTAGCTCTCTTGAAACTTTAAGGCTGCAATTTATTTAGAATATAAAAATTATGCTTCGAGCAGGGTTTGATGGTTACTCACAAAACGGTTTTCTTCTTCAGCGATAACCTAACTTTCTTTCCCCTACAACAACCCGTGTATTCGAACGCGGGTAACTTGTCCTAGCGAAAACAAATTGAATTTAATTTATGTTAACGAATTTACCGTTTAATCTTACTTTTCTTTCACTTTCTGTGACTATTCTCGTTCTTTTACTCTAATTTTAACTTCTCCAAATAATTAACTTTCAATGAATCCATCACGTTTGTTTTTCCTTCTCTGAACTTCGTTTTTCCTTTCCTACTCTTCAAACTGTCACTTTATCGAAATAGCAGTGTTACCAGTTACACCTTCTCGTCGGCCGGTCGAGGGGCCTTCCCAATATACCCCACCCCGTGTAGCTGGGAACTCAGGACTTTTTCTTTGCTCTGACCCTTTCTGACGTCTAGCAACGCAAGCTTCGATACGGGACGTTTTTTAGTCCCAGTACTGGTCTGTACCATCGCTGACCGCACATGACCATCCGATCCAGGATAGATCTCGGTGATGACTCCACGCTCCCAATGGTTCCGTGCCGATTCTTCAATGACGATTACCAAATCGCCGACGTCGATGGGTTTGGTCGGTTCAAACCATTTTACTTGTCTCCTTAAAACTGGTAGATACTCCTTTACCCAACGTCGCCAGAACTCGTCCGCCAAGTGCTGGGTTAATTTCCAGCTGTCCCTCAACGCTTGACATGGTGATACAAATTCAGTGCTTGGTTGAGTGACTCCTCGATTTCCGTATAACAGGAAGTGGTTTGGGGTCAA